AGGATCTCTGCCTTTCGGTGTAAGCAAAAACTTCGAACTCTTCTTTTGTACATCATCTTTTGGTTTTGGAAGTTGTTGAACGTCCTTTAAGGGTAGCACTTGTTTAGCTGCTGTCTTCTTTTCTTGAGTGTTAGGAAACACTCTCTTTGGTTCTGGACAGCAAGCTTTCTTTGGCTTAGCTTTTGGATAAGACCTTGTTACTAGAATCCATCTCCTTGGCTTGGGGTTTGCATCGATCTTCACATAGTATTGTTTGTTGGCTTCAGCATCCTTCACAAACTCTTCATACATGATCTTCTTCATGTCTTCCCAAGAATAGGCTGGTTCATCAAAGTCAATTCGCATGTAATCTTCCCTTTCCCAATGCCTAAATGCATCCTCCGTGAGAGTTTCTTCAGCATAAGTCATCTTCTCCTCTTCAAGGACTTGGTTAGACTGAAACCAATTATCCATGTCTTGTTCCCACCTTGTGTAGGCTTCTGATCCTTGGCTATGGCCTGAGAATGAGATGTATCGTTGTTCTGGTTCCTCCCCTTCAAACTCTAATTCAACACCAAAGTTATCTTCGTTCCATGGTTCTTCATCATGTGGATTAGTCTCTCCTAGCAGACTGATTTGAGAGTCAGATTCTTCTCGAGACTTGTATCTTCATAGTAAGACTCCACGAATTGGTCATGTTCTCCGTCATGAGTAAACTCTCCACGATCTGGTTCATCTTCATATCCTTCATGATCTCTTAGACCGAATTCACATTCAGTTTCTTTACACCATGGCTTGTTTTCATGATAAAGGTCAATCTCTGCCTCATGTGTGTAAGGGTCCATGAACTGATCTTGTTCTTCTTCACGAGTGAAATCTCTATACTCTGGTTCACGTGCATAGCCTTCTTCCTCTAGGCTTACTTGAGACTCATTCTCCTCACACAATGATTCACCTTCATATGACTCTCCGACATCATCATACCAACTCTTGTGGCTGGCGTCATCTTCTTCATAGTTTCGTGGCTTTGGTTCAGGCTCGTCTTCTTCAACTTCATCTCCACAATCTGAGCCTGAGTAGTCTTCGTGAAACCATGGCGGTGCCTCATATTCGAACCGCTTCATCAAACCAACTATGGTTTGGTTCATCGTTCTCAGACTCGTAAGGGCTGAACTCGTTGGAACTTTCTTCTCCTCTTGAATAATATCCCATGGTGCTTCTACGTTTACTTGGGGAAGAATCTCGCATAGCCAAAGAGAAGAAAGCGTATCAATTGATATCGATGAAGGAAAGGAAATAAAAAAAATCACGTAAACAAAATATTTTTTTTATAATATATGAATAAGTAGAAAATAACAAGAAAATACAAGAAACAATTTTTATGGATTTTTCGGTTTATATGAAATGAAACAAAACAAAATGCAATTATTTTTTTGCTTTTGGTGTTTTTCGTTTATATAAAATCAAACTAACAAGAAATCAAAACAAACCAAGTTTTTATGATTTTTTTTTTTAATTTATGAAGTAAAACAAAAGCAAAACAAAATTGAAAAGAGATATAGGTTAGATGGATACAACCTTGGATAGGAGCTTTTAAGCTCTGATACCAAATGATATAGGATCATAATCACTCCAATTCTAAGACCACTCGATGATTGAGAGGTTCCAAGCCTAGACTTACAGAATGTGGAAACGATAGTAGAGATGGAGGGGAAGTGATTGACTCGCTCAATCAATTGGACGAACAACTTGTTGAGTCACACAACAAACATATTTGTGACTTCAAGAGAGGATGGTGTATCGCACACTAAACCCAAATGAAAGAACTCAAAGAAGACTTATCTTTGAAAGAAAAACAAGACGTTTGTATTTAGCTATGATCGAGGGTGTTTTACATTGTGACAAAAGACTGAGCTGTATAGGCTCGTGTAGGAACAAGCTCCAACGGTCTTAAACATAAATAAGGAAAGAAAATGATACGAAATAAATGAGAAGACTTAAAGTTTTGGTGGAGCCTTTTGGATATTATGGTCGTTGATGAGTGATGACGTTGGGGCTGCTTATGGAAAGACTTGTATCTCGAAATCTTGGTGATAATTCAATGTGAAGAGAGTCTCTGGTCAAGGCAGAATCTTCCACAGTCAATAGCCTTGAAGCTTTCAAAGAGAACTGGCCGTTGGAGTGAAATAAGTATTCTCGGGTCTACATATGGTACGTAGTGTATTAGCTTGATCTCTTGAGTTTTTAGGTTGAATCAGTGTAGGTTGACGTTCCTTAGAGACTCTAGATGTGTAAGAGTGTCTCCTGGTCGCGATAAATAAGTTTGAAGTCTCCTACGCCTAGCACCTTCCAAATAAGGCAAGCTGAGAAATGTCCGATTTAGAAAATCAATAACTTTTAATTCTGAACCGGTATTGGCCTCAAAACAATTCTCCGAATGTCTCTGATGGCTTAATTATCTGGAACAACTCGGTTCATAGCTTAATTCATCATGGCCTGGTCGGAATCCTCCTTTAAACGCGCATATGTCTGAATAGAGTAAATCCAGAAACACTCGACTTGTAAACTGAATATCTCCTTCGTTAGAACTCCGCTTCAAATTCATGGCTTTCTGTATTTGACCTTAGAACGTTTCCCAAGTGGTTTGATGCTCTGAATCTTCGTGATTAATTCGGTATGCTCCAAGAAAGGCACATAGGTCCTTGTCGGATCCGTTGCGATTTGAATGGTATGTTTGATGGAGCTCCGGGTTAGCAACTGGTTTGATGGCCTCATCAAAGGTTAACGACCTTCTCAGCTAGTCGGTGCTAATTCTTCACTTCAAGGAGCTTTGGACAGTCCCTGACAATGAACATGTAGTCACAGGTCATGGCACCAACCATGTCACTACATTTGACATAACTGATGAGCACTGACAAACAGTCTTAACTAGAAATGACGTCTAGTTTATGGATTAACCACCGATCGTCGACCTTAACATCAATTTATTAATAACCAACGGTTTAACAAAGCAACCGACTTAACATATTTCTTAAGGAAATATGACTAAGAACCGACATGACGTCCTATTCCTAAAATAGGATGGAATGACGACAGACAAGCCCAGTCCAACAAGAATTAGGGTTCACAATACCTATATATACGAGAGTCCCAACACAAGGATGAGATCATCACAACACATACACAAAAATCCTAAATAGTTAAACCCTTGCCGCCTCTCAACGACGAGCGACAAGAACTCGACTAGTGCTCAACGACGAGCGATGATAACTTCTGCAATGGTCAACAACAAGAGACAAGAACTTTGTCTGTGCTTACGACGGACAACGAACGATCGACAAGATCATCACCTCGAGATTTCTTTATTGATTCTTTGTAATTCTATCGAAACTCATTGATCAATAAAGCTAACATCTTCTCGTCATTCCGTAGCACTGTTTTCCATTCGATCCGGTTAAATTTTGCACCAACAGTTTTTATTTTATATATTTTTTTTTAACATTAAAAAATATAGGTAGAAGATTTCTATTTTCTTTGTATTATTCTATAACTATGTTTACAAAATAAATATGTTTTTTAATTTATAAAATTGTTTTGTTTTATCATTTATATTTTTTTCTTAACTAAACTTTCTATTTTCTCTAAAATTTTTGTTTTTTTATTGTTTATATTCTCTCTATTTTCTTTCTTAATTTTATTTTTCTAACTTTTTTAAATTAATAGATTTTTTAATTAGTTAAGGTGGACTATTAGAAATTTTCTTTTTCTCATAATTAGTTTGAACAATAAGAATTTTTTTTTTTAGTACTATTTTGTTAGTTATTTGACAAATTTTTTGTTTGTTTTTCATTTTTATTTATATACCTTTTCTAATTTGATTGAAGTATTAATACATGTCATCGTATTTTCTTTCCTAATTTTATTTTCTAAGTTGTTTAAACTAATAGATTTTTTTTAATCTAGTTAGTGTTGACTATTAGAAAGTTTTCTTTTCTCATAATTAGTTTGAGCAATAATTTTTTTTTTCTTTACTATTTGGTTATTGACAATTATTTTGTTCATTTTTATTTTTATTTTTATACTTTTTCTAATTTGATTGAAGTATTAATACATATTATCATCTGATCAACAGTAGACACATGTC